TATTCCAGCAGAACAATTACATTTATATGATTACATTAGATTGCACACTGTTAGGTGATTGCATCTTTCTCTACTGTTGGAACAGTGCTGTTCCCTATATACCACATTTTACACATCTTTGCTTATTAGCTTTTATAAACCAAGGCTTTATATTATGTCCATCTAATTGTTAGAGTAAGAAAACTAATTACACTTAAAGTAATTGTCACATAGTCACTGTGAAACATGTTACATACAATAAATTAGTGTGAGGGAATACAATATGTGGCTTAAGGTATCTCTGATTGGTATGTATGTCATTGTTGCCTGATGCCTCAACAAATGTTATATGAATATATCTGGAGGAAAAAACTAAATCATTTTTGTTTATGTCTTGATGTTTTGAATCAGACTGGATCAGAATCAGCTGGTCCTGACTGACATATTGGATTCTAATATGTTGAATAACATAATGCATGTTAAGACTGAGTAGATTTTAACACCTGAAACTACAAAAGCAAACAAATAAATATACGTAGGTATCTGGAAACCTTTCCCCAGATATTCCTTCAGGGTTAGTTTTGGTACTTTGTATTGAAATGTATTTTTTGGTTTGCTTGTCTTTTTTCTGTTGACAAAATGTCCATAAAACTGACTTGGCATGTTTAAATATGACAACAAGCTACAAATCTAAAACTATATGTAATTATCTTTACTGCAGTTCCCACAGGCACTTGTCACATTTTAGCATTTATAATCTCACAGAGAAACATTTTCTACAGAGAACTTCTACAAGTGTTTTTCTATAATTACTTTTACTGCATATTCCTTTTCTTTAAATAAAGAAAGCTGAAAAACAGTGTCGAAGTTATGCTGGTAACCAGTGTTGGGCAGTTAACCTATTCTTCAGTAACACCTGAACAGGACTTTTCTTTTTTGTGGCAGGCGGACTATGTTATGACTTGTGTGCGAGTATGCTCATATGGCTTACTAACCAAAACGTTGCCAGTTGTCCAAAGCTCAAACTCTGATGGCTGAGAGATGACATGTGCATGAAATAACCGATTATTTTGTTTTCCTCAGTTCTACGGTTATATAATAGGATTTAAGTTATAATAACAGTTTTGTCTTTATTAGTATTTCTTTAATATTTTTCCATTGTTTTACAAAGCATTATGGTCTTTTAAAATGAATAAACACTACACTAAAATTTACAGCAAGGAATTAATTGTTTGTTTTTAAGGTTTTAAAATTCATTTAAACTTTACACTGTCACCAAGTGCTTGCTCAAGGGGGATTTGTTGGGTTTTCCCTATGTAATAATAATGATAACAGTAAGGTCTAGACCTTACTTTGTAAAGTGTCCTGAGATGACTTTTGTTGTGATTTGGCACTATACAAATAAATTTTGATTTGATTTGTGATTACAGTGTGATTGTATCTTAGGATTAGAAAACACACCACTTAAAAACCAAGCATGTTTAAGTGCTTACCTTTATTTGTAATTTCTGTTAATTTCTTTAAGTGTCTTTTGGATATTTTGGCCCGTGTTGAGGTTGTCTGTGTTGGATGTCCAGTAGACTCAGATCAGACTCAGGACAGTTAAAGGGACCTGGGAGCACGCATGGAGGTCTGCTCAGCTGATGGCACACCCAAGAGAGCCGTGTATGGCCCCGATGTGCTGGGCCAGCCTGCCCTCCTCCACTGGTCAGTGTCTCTCTTCAGTATTTGTTTTGTTTCCTCAGGTTTGAGATCAAACCAACCATTTTAATTCATCAGTTGGGCACCCTTCTCCTTATACAGTATTCAATACAGTGTTCACTGAATGAGTAAGAACATCTTATGCATCTCTTTTGTTTTATTTTATATCTACTACTGACGCTACTAAATGTGGCCGCTCATTCGTTGTCCACTGCACAAGTCTTTCTTCAGCAGAACCTATGAAGAAATTTAAGAAAACATTTAGGGAGATGTTGGTGAATTAGACCCATTGTCTTTTGGAAGTCAAAAGCTTCTTGTTTTTTTCCATTTGCCATCCAGTCTCCTGCAACCTTGCTAAAGAGCAGTAAACCACAAATACTTCTGATAAGGAGACAGCTGTGATTGAGTCACTGCTACAGTTTTCAAAAAGGCCTGTCGCTGCGGTGAAAGGATCCAGGATTCCCAGTAATCGCTCACCAAGATCAGCTGACAGACTAATGTGGCATTAACAAAGAGAGGCCAGTATCGCTTCAAATTTAATAAGATAGTGATGTGACATAATGGATGTGACAGGACAGTCAGACCAGAATCTACTATCCTGTTCCAGCATTCTTACCTTGCCTGAATTCCCCGTTTCTGACCTCTGATACCGTTTTTTCTGACCACCGTGTTTTGCCTATGTCCTTCCAGTCTGATTGCCTGCAGTGTTCCGACCTCTGAGCTATTTCCCCTGACTACCCGAGTTTTGGATCTCCTGGATACTCCTGTCTACCGGCGCCGACCCTGGATTGTCTTATGGACCTGATTTAGCCTCTCGGACTTTGTATTGTTTTCCTTGTTGTTATTAGTAAAGACCTGTTACTTTATTCGTCTGGTTCTATAATTGAGTCCACCACTAAACACCATTTGTCGTTCTTACACGGCAAACCTGACATTGTCCAAATAAAGGTGCTTATCCTTATTGAATAAGGCCTTGCCAGAAAGGAAAACCTCCAGGTTTTTTGTAAGAGTCATAAACACTAAGAGTGACACAGAAACAGAAAGGTAGGTCCCTAAATCCAGGAAAAAAAATCAGGCTCACCTAAAATAAATTACATATTACAATCTAAATAACTACCTTTGGCTTTATAATTCCAGGCAAATGATACTGTGGATTTGTAAACTATATACCAATGAATAAAAGCTTTTGATGAAGACATCACAAACTATGACAATTCTATATTGTTTTCTGTAAATGAAGTGTAAAGGAAGTGGTCCAGGTGGCTCTCCAAAATTCTTTTATATTTTGATATATTTAACCACTGCTAAATTTGTCACAAATGTCAACTTTTTAATTTGCATTTCCGCATGCATAATGGTGTAATATTCACAGATTAACATACATTTAACTACAAGAGGAGAGGACATTTTGAAAATGTGGGATAGCTGAATAATAAAATACCAAAAAGTACACCAAACAGTACAAAACATCTTACAAAAACCACCTGTAATAGTGTATTGTAGTGGTAAATGGCCCCTAGCCCTGCCCACCTGTCTACCTCGCACATTTCTAACTCCAGACAGTGACAGAGCAGATAAAAGCTAGGTTTAGTGAGGCTTAGAGAACTCTAAAACATATGTGCAATGAAAATAAACAAATAAAAAAGTGTTACACACAGTGATGCATGGCCTTTGCGCTCCATTAGCTGGACCGATCAACATTGTGATGGAAAGATTACAGTATAACCTCAGCTTCATGCTGGGTGAGGTGCACTTCATCTACAAACTAAGCTTCACAAACTGTAGTCAAACAAAATGCAGTAGAATGCACAGCTTCAGTACACACCAACTTCGACTGTGGCAAAAAAGTCACAAAACACCACAAAGAATGGCCAGGGCCCACTCAAACAGATGCTAACAAGCATGGGTTCACAGGTTTAAGCTGTTTTTCAGCTCACATACACAACTAAACAACACAGAGCTACACACGCACATGAAAATGGAAAATTATGACCGCATGTTTGCAGGGAAATATCAAGACAAATGCGCTTTGACAGTAGAAGGGTTACCTGTTTCTGACTGTGCAAACATACAGTACTAGAGTAAGATCAGGTGTTTCCCTTTTGTCACAGTATCCATCAACATGTATCAGGTCCTGGCTCACAGCTGTCAACAGGTTCCTACAATTGCAGTGATCCCATATGTGTCCATGTTTGTTAAAAGGCTGTGACATTTGATGTAATAGCAGGTTACACAAACAAGACTTGTGCTGCTTGACATCCACATACTGTACATGGATAGCTGGTTTTTGAGGTTTAAAGACCACACTTTTCACTAAACTTAGTTTTACCACAGAAATGGCCATCACATTTTCCTATGCATGCTAATATTTTTTCTTACCTGCACTGACGTTGCACTTACCCCCCAACATAACAGAATATAAAAATAGATATACAAATAACGTTCACAGATATACAGTGGCACAAAACTAAAAGATCCCACACTCTTCTGCAGAAAAACATCAATGTCACCATATCACAGGGAAATCAGAAAAGAAAAGGAGGACACATAGAAACAATGTGATGCCTAAAGCCATATAGTAGCACATGTTTGTATGTCCAAGCTTTGGAGAGCTGAGACACAGCATCATTACACTTCCTTACTGACACACCTCCTACTTTTCAGTAGTGTCCTCATGCCAGTGTGTCAGCCTCACTATTACTGAACGAAGAAAGGAGCCCCACCTAGTGGCAGGAACCAGACCAGTTTGGTGCACCTAATTATCAGAGACAAAACTTGAGCTTGATAAAGAAAATAATCACCACCTCTTATGTGACAACTTTATGATTTATGATCAAATACTAGAACCCAGGCTCTAAAATATAGTGTAAAATGCCTTCTCAAGCTAACCCAATTAAAATTCATTATTTTCTAATTGAGAAAATGGCCTTTCTTCTTTAAGGACATAGGTCAGGATGTTGCCAGGTGTGGCCATCTTTCACCTGTCTCCAGTATTGCCCATGTCTGAAACCCAGCTTGGCGAGTTTTTCTGGAGGTAGCAGATGGAAATCCAAAGTAAATATTTTCTCCATAGTGATGCAGATTCTGAGTGTCATGGCCCAAATGTAATCTGCTCAAAATGTCAAAAACACAACACTTGCTGCGTGACCGACGCGTTAGTAATGCCTCCATCATCATCACCATATGACGCATTCGGTCTCTTTTCGATGTATTTTCGTTCACACACACACACACACACACGAGTGCGCGCACACACACTCACGAACTTTCTCCTACGGTGTAACCCCTCCCTTTTCTTGTGCTGCTAAACTATATAAATCACCTCTGTCGAAGTTTGAAAGCAAGGTTCAGCGACTTGCAGAGTAAAACCTGAGTGAGGAGGAGAGAACTGCTGCACTGAGAACTCATAGATATCTCCGACCGCCAAAGTCTTCTCAAAGTGAGTCCACACTGTTATTATTCACATTCTAGCAACCAAATTTTTAAAATATTTTTTTTCACTTGCAATGAAATCATTTGTTTCCAGTACCGATGAGGATGTTTAAACAGTGTCATGCAGATATTCATATAAAGGGTGATTCTTCCTTGTATGCAAAGACTTAAATTGTATTGGAATAATTTATTATAACACGTTTATAGGCTTCTTTTGGTAGAGAGATTCATGCAGACCGAACAGGCTATAAGACTTCTGTGTGCAAAACTTTTTTTTTTAATAGAAGCCGCTATCTACTGCTCTTTATCACATTTATGATGACGCGTGGTGACGAAATGTTTGTTTAGTCGGCGCTTTTTTTTAATTCCACTTTGCATAAATGCACCCCTCCATTGTATAGCGTCTTATCTTGAACTCCAAAATGCATTCATTTTGCAGTCAGATGAATGGTCCGCAGAAGCATGACACAAGGGTGAATGGTCCGCAGAAGCATGACACAAGGGCGCAAATCTACAGGAAACTAAATGACCTGATAAATCACAGCATTTTAACGCAATATCTGGTTGTAGCCACGGGGCTTTGCGCTAAGTCTCAACAGTTAAAATGTTTGTCCTGTAAAATTCTAGTGTTAACATGGCCAGGTTATAGCTCTGAGATTTTTACCTGACGTTATATCATCTTGTGGGGTTGTAATGCAGAGTGTGTTCACAATATACTAGAAAGTTATCAAGTTGCTGCAACTGCATAATGAATTTTAATACACCTACACTATATAGTAGCCTACCATGTGCAGCATACTATTATCAGTGAAGCTGGTGGTGTGAAGAACAACTAGCAAACCCATAACATTATTTTCCTCCAACTGGAGTCACTCAGTTTTCTTCATCTTTCCTAGGAAGTGACCAACATTTGGCCAGATTTGTCTAATAGTCAATACACAGCCTGAAAGGTTTTTCATGTATATGGTATATACTGACTTTTTTAGTTTACATACATCTATCGTCAGCCAGCTTAAGATGAGCAGACATTTGCTAGGAAAACTGCTCATGTTTTTCACATTGCTCTCCTCAGGAGGGGTCTGACATGAACCTTTTGTTATCAGAGAAGAAAAAGAACAGGTGTTTACCGCCCCTTTATGCCTTTTACTTGTAGTTTTTGTTAGAGTTTTCAGAGGTATGATGGGATTATTTCAGTCAAATGTCTTGGAAGGAGATGATGTTTTCTTTTACTGGTTTTCTTTTCACCAAGTGGCTTTTGAAGCCGAATTCACTGATAATTTTGGACTTTAGGAGTCTAACACATCTCGCTGCCCTGTCATAGATGGCCATGATGCTGAAGCCGTGGACGGTGCTGGTAGCCGTGCTGTTGTGTGTGCTGGTGTGTCTGGGAATGCTGGCGGACGCCTACCCCCCCAAACCTGAGAACCCTGGTGAAGATGCCCCACCCGAAGAGCTGGCCAAGTACTACACTGCCTTGAGACACTACATCAATTTGATCACCAGGCAGAGGTAGGTACACACATACATGAGCACTATGCACATGTGTTTGTGACACATTCACTGGTTTTCTGAATTTTTGACAAAAAAAAAAAACACCTAAGGAGGAAAGAAGGCTAGGGACTAAAATTCTTTGAGTGGGGAGAAGGGAAAGACTATGTTTAATATTTAAATAAAGCAAGGCATGCTTGTGTGTTTGGACCCTCTCTTTGACTTGTCACAAACATCAGTCAAATAAAATAACAGCTGTAACACAGAATACCCTATTTTAGGTCTTTGTATCTACAATGAGTTATTGTTGTCACAGTAGCTAACAATGCACGCACCAGCAATGAAATTAGAAATCTATGACAAACATAACAAAATTTTGAATACTCCATCCAAGATAATCAAAGTGTAGCAGCAGCTGAACTTTTGTGCGTCTTCCAGCAGCTGAACTTTTGTGCGTCTTCCCGTTTGCTGCTTTAGTCCCAGTTTAATTGTGTTTTATTCAAGTTATTATAACGACTGAGTTCAGTGAGCTTCCCGCTCATATTTAAGCCTGAAGCTATGTTGTTGTGTGAGACACCCGCCTCTTACACTACCCCAAACCCTTCGCCAGCACACAGCGGCAGCTCTGCAGATTAGATTACCGGCCACTCTCCAAAACCTCCAGGCCTCCAAATCAACACACGCAGACAAATAAAATTGGTACAGATGGACCCAAGAAAGAATCCCAAATCCAGTTAGCTGGGCCTGCAGCTCTAAGGTATAAAAGTTGTCAGTATGGAATTGTCAGATTTCTGATTTAGAGCAGTCTGGCTCTATAAGATATCTGTTTTTATTCATGAAAGTCAAATAGGTCACTGATATTTACATACTTGGTTTATAGAAGACTCCAACTGCCATAGGAAATCCATTTGTTTCAAGTAGAGAGTAGTTACATTTCAGAGAGAGTTGTAGATGAAGACACATCATCTGTGATAAAGAGAACTAATGGTTATATAAGGTTTCAGGTTGATTTTAGTATTTTAGACCCAGTATTTCTCCACCAGCACTCAGTATTTCAGATAACAAAATAATAATAATTCTGACAGAAACAATAAAAATCTAATGTTCTCAGTGCTTCAGATTCAACTATTACTTCAGCTGCTTTATCTGCTTCAACCTGAATTGCATCTGTCACTCAGCACCTACTGTAATATGTAAACAATTAAAACTTGAAGACATTGTAACCTGTTTACAGTTTTGCTCCTGCAGTTTTAGCAAAACCACTTGAAATCTAGTCTTTTTTAAGTTTCCAAAAGGTTTTACAGAAAGATTCCAGAAAAGAACTATGTAATCTGGTGACAGAGAAGTATAGCTAGTCCGAGGCTGGCATCTTTAAGTGTAATTTGTTTTACTGAGTTTAGATGTTTCTAGAATTTGAAGAAATTCCCTCAGGACATTCGTGAAATATTGCATTCACAAGAAATGGATGGATGTGAGGTCACAAAAGACTGATAGAAAGCTTTGACCTTTGACTTTTGACTACCAGAATCTAATCGGTTGATCTTTGAGTGGAGGTTTGTGCTAAATTTGAAGGAATACCCTCAAGGTTTTCAGAATTTATCATGTTCAGGAGAACAGGATAGACAGGCAACCTGACAACATAATGCTCTAGCCACAGCTGTCGCCAACATGGAGGCAAAAAAAATTTTTAAAAGAAAAGTAACACATTTAATAATGTTCGTTTCAGAATCCTCAGAGGCTCTTATAACCATCTAGATGAAAAATATTTTGTTTATGACACAACAAATCTTTTCTATCCAATTTCCAGGCGGTGCCCCTTTTAACCCAAATATGGAAGCCAATTTTTACAACATGAAGCAAAATGAACGATTTTACCATCAGTGATGTTGGTACACTCTCCACTGATGCTGTTTTCCAACTTTTTTTTTAAATTTACAACAATCACATTATTATTTTTGTGGATTATTGTGTTTTACAAAAAACAAAAAGCACATATGTCATTTCTAGTAAATTGGACAGGAAATACAAGCAAAACATAGGAAATAGACTCTTTTAATGAGCCTCTGGGAAACTTGAATGCTTAACTCTGTGACTCATGTAATGGCTATAAAACCATGAAGACTGGAGAGAGCAAAACACAAGATGAGGTAAATTGGCCACTGATAGAGAGAGCAAGAAAGAAAGATGGACAAGAAAGGGCAAGAACAGACAAAGCAGATGTACACAAAGACAGGAGAAGCTAGCCAGATGGACAGAAAAGAGTCAGACAGAGGGGAAAATAAGAGCAGGGCCAACCAGGAGTGCTCAGGGAGATGTATGGGTGCAGACAGGCCATTATCACAGGGGAGAACTTTCTACATACTGACATGCCGCACTGTGTGACAGCTGCATGAGACAGAGCATGTGAACTACTCGATTGCTTTCCTTCAAGGCAAGACTCACACACACACCTTGCTGTGTGTGTAACGAAGCATAAGATTGGGTGCTGGGGTCATAGGGGGATGTGTAACAGGTGGTTGATGGGAAAACAGAAAAACTGCTGGCTGCGCTGCAGGGGTTGTTGTATTGAATAGCACCATTTCATGCACATACACACATTACCGAGTAAACTTTCTGTTGAACGGCTCTGGTTTTACATTTGCAGCTCTCTTGGAGCCTGGTTTCCTTATAAAGAGAGTGATAAGACTCATCCAGACTGGGAAATGAGAGCCATTAACACACACCAGCATTCAAACACACAAGCTCTTGCCTGTACAGTCTGAATTGTGACTATAAAATTAAAGCAAGTGAGGCATAAGACAGAGGACAGAGACAATGAACAGAAAGAGAAGGCAAAAAGACACATTGTCTGGTCTGAGAATGTACAAAATAATATCTGTGCTTCATTTCACACACTGAGTCATAGTGACCACCAAAACTTTGACACTAACTAATGGTGGAAGTAACGTGTTATGGGAAAAGTGGTCCTGATATAGGTCATAGTGACCACCAAAACTTTGACACTGACTAATGGTGGAAGTAGCGTGTTATGGGAAAAGCGGTCCTGATATAGACAAACAGTGATGCTGTCAACAATCTCAACTATCATTTGTTTACAGCAGAATAACCTTTTTCACACATAAATGTCAGTTAATAGTGAGGGGTAGTACCCAGGGACGGATCTAGAACATTTTGGATGGCATGGCCAAGCTGGGGCACAGACTCAGAGAGGGGGTGTCACATTTGAAATACATGTTAAAAGTCAATTAAACTCCTAGTTCTATGAAATAATAAGCCATACATAACTAGGAATCATATGAGACATGCATAATGCTTTCTTTATCAAACTTTGGCTGCGCTCCTCATTTACTCCTGGCCAGGGACATTGCCAAGTACTCCACTACAACACAACTGGAGAAATGAATGCAAATATCATGCTGCCTGCATGATAGAAAATAAAACTAATTTATCCAATATTAATTATAAAGCACCAAAAAGTGTTTGTTGCATTTAAGGCAGCAATGTGTCAGTGTTTTTCATTTTTCATTCACTAATGCTGATAAGCATCACATTCTGGCTCCAGGAGGGGTGACCTGTCGGACTCTGCCCATGGTACTTCCACTGAGACTCTAGTTATAATGTCTTCCGTGGTTGAGGCGGAGCTTTGTCAGGGTTGAGAAAACGACCCTAATGATGTCACACTGATGTCAGCAAGGTTACTTCAGCTTTAGCTTCAAAACTACAAATTGGCCTGCATGACAAACTGGAAGTGGGGAATTTGGCACCATGGGTGATTAAGAGGAAGACAGACTCTGAAAAGATGTTGGTTGCATTATGGGAAATGTAGGATCTAGTATTTATAGTGACTGAAAGCCAGGATATTCCAATGTCTGCTGCATCAAGTGTGATTATATACATACTGTATAAATTGTCCTTTCAAGTAATACAGCTCTAGTATGATTGTAGGAGGCTGCTATCATAAAAAGTAACACTAGATTACTGTTGTTTCCGATAGGCCCCTTGGCTCAGCCACTGACAGTGAAAATTAATATAAAGAAAATTGATTATAGAATGAAAATGTGTTTTAAAAATCTTGGATTATAACTTTAGGGTGTTTAATGTAAGACTTGTTTTAAAACTCTCTCTGTCCTAGGTATGGAAAACGTTCAGCTCAGGAGGACATGTTTGCAGAGCTGCTGTTTGGTGGCGACAGTAACAGAGACCAGAGATCAAGGTAAAGACCCTCACACACAAAAACTGGAGGAGTCATGTGAGCCGTTGTGAACACAGCATTATCTTCATTTAAGCAGGTAATCTCACTGAGACCAAAGCCTCTTTTACAAGATATATCAGAGTGAAAGTGAACCAAACAGTAGGATATAACAAAAGCGCATCAGCATCAGAGACCATCAGAGACATTGGATTCAAAGACAAAAGTTTAAAATCAGCCAGTTATTCAGTTATTCATTCTAGTTATATGGTAAAAAATAATAAAGGGCAGTCTTCCCTAGTTTAGGATTTACCTGAGGGGTAACTTGGCGAGCAGTGGTTTGAGAAGAGGACGGCTACACCGGATTTATGAATATTAACTATACAAACAATGACAGGCCCTTCCTTTTTTTTAAATGTCTTTCCGCAGATTTGACAACTCCTACATGTGGTGACTCCACCATCTCTCTCTCACTCCTCATCCGGCATTCCCTCTGGGTGTGTTCCACAACACGCCCGAAGGAGCCGACATGTGCCTCTCACCTCCGAACCCTGAACCCAAACAATGACCGTCACTGACCAGAATACAAGCTCTCTTTGTCTTTCTCGTCACTGTCACATCTCTCGAATTACAAAGCAGCTGTACATAATTTGTTATTGAAATAAAATATATAGATCAACGCGACAAATCAGAAGGTGGAAATGTGTCTGTGTGTATGTGAGCATTAACATCTAAACTACTACTGTCCTGCACTGTTTAGAGGAGGAGATTCCTGTTTTACTGTTGCTACTGTGACAGGTAACAGAATAAATGGATGAAAATATTTCTGTGTGATTAAATTGTGTAATACTCAGGATGGTCTTCATCTGAGATGCATACAATTATGTTCTCCGTATTTGTTTGGTTAGCATCTTAAATTCTAATTTTAACCCCTGTAGATAATGAATGCTGTAATTAACATTATACCATGCAACACTTTAATATAAACTGCTCTTTACCACATCAGTTTTTAGACTGTAATTTAGAATATAATTAAAAACACGAGAAGAATCATTAATGCACATTCACTTTACAATTTTCAAAGACTTGTTTTGTTCTGTTTTTCTTATCAATACATTTCATGAAATAACCAAAACCAACTGGTGTTCCTCCCCTGCCTGTGGCTCCCAGCGTGAAGACATAACTTTCTAAAAATGGCTCACAGATACAGTATATAGTTGCAATTTAAAAAATGCATCAACAAAAAATACAACAACAAATATAACTCAATAATATTATGCTAGTTACAACAATAGCATCCAAGTCATTTCTTCAAAATCTTGGTATTGTTGGGGTTTATTTTCTTTATAACACTAGGGCAAATACTGGAATTGTTTTTACCCAATTGAGGTGTAATACTAAAATGTGTCCACTACATGCTGCTGTTGCTGTGTTTTCAAATATGGCTGGTCGACGTCTACTGCCACAGCATACCTTCAACTACAGAGAGCTGCGTGGGGACTGGATTTTGGTGATAATACATCTATGAACTGACAACAAAACTCAGCAGGCTCATGAAGATGGTCTTAGTTTGGTGTTATTGTTTCAAAACCAAGCTCTAAAGACTGTAATTAACCCTGTGTTGTTTAGCTAAAACATCAATAGCTCTGGTCAAAGGTTTTAATTTAAAGGGTTTCTCAAAAACTTAGATTTTCCCCTTGCTGCCTGGTTTATGCCCATTAAACACCCCCAGTTTTATGTTTCCTTTGGGGAATTGTAAGCCCAAGTCTAGATATCCCTGATGGCTATAGCATACTTTGGGTTATTTTGTCAGCCTTGACAAAGCTCCAGACCCACAGAAGAATATTATATATAATACCTGTTACTTATTCCGATAGTAGTAAGTGAACATCATGTGTAAACACACGTCAACATGGGCTTATAAAATTAATAATAACAAAAACAACACACTGGCCCTTTAATACACCTACTGTATTTAAATACCACATTGGCTTTGTAAATCTCACAATCATATGTAGAATTCGCCCGGAAATTAGTGAAATGTGCCTTCAAAATTAAATCTAAAAAGTAAGATTTAGAAATACCACCTATTTCGTACTGCACACAATATAGTTAAGGCTTAGGGAGTTATTCTACCTATTTTATTTTAATGCAGTAATAATCATTTAGCCTTAAAAACCTCATGTAGCTGCCAAAGGAATTTTGTTCTTAAACGTTCTCGGAAGTCACGCACCTTTTCTTGTTTCAATTGACGCTGATGTCGTCGCTGAAAGCTACAGAAACCAGGCGACAACAAGAAGCGCACGATACATAAACAGCGGGAAGCTCGTCTCATTGTTTCTCATTGAAAGGTATGTGAAACGATGGCTTTTTATTCAAGGCACGGCTTTATTAACAGGAAGCGTCTGTTACAGTCACTGCTGAGCATATTGTGATTGTGATTATGATTATTATTCGTCTCTATTTGGCTCTTTTATTATAAAGAGCAACCACACTGGAGCTGGGTTGACAAAAGCGCGTGCGTGGTCGTGCGTGAATTTGTGTATTTAAATAACAGCATGATTACAATATCTCTGGCCTGACCACACTGAAGCTAGCATTACCATTTTATTTTAGTTAATTAGTCTCTCTTGTGTGTGTGTGTGTGTGTGTGTGTGTGTGTGTGTGTGTGTGTGTGTGTGTGTATTTTTCACTACATTCTGGCCAGTTCTCACTTTCTGAAACGCCTTTTTGAGGGTTAAGACTCAGTTTTGGGGTTCAGGTAAGAATTAGGCATAGGTTAGGTATTAGGCATTTAGTTCTGATGGTTAAGGTGAGGGTTAGGGGGTAGGGAATACATTATGTCTGTGAGTGTCCTCACAAAGATAGAAATGGAAATGTGTGTGTGAGATCATGCTTTGTTTTATATGACCCCTGGGTCTTATTGAGACTGGTTTGCGTGTGCATGTGTGTTAAGTGAGGGATACACTTTGAGTAATGATAACCCTCAGTGCAATACCTGTAAATATACATTGTACAGATTGTACAGTTCTGTACAGGTTTCTATTTCAAAGTACTCTGCTTTTACTCCTATTTATCTCATTTCAATGAGCATTCCTTTGTCTGCATTGTTTACTGCCTGTTTATACTGCTTATTTTGCATTGTTTGCACTGTTTGCTTATTAATACTGCTTATATTGTTAAATTACACAGCCTCATGCTGGTTTACTGTTTACATGCCCCTTGCATGGGGATATGTACATACACACTGAGAGCTGATGTACCAGAGTCAAATTCCTCGTGTGTCCAATGCACCTGGCCAATAAAGCAGATTCTGATTCTGATTCTGATTATGAAGACTGAATAAATAAAGGACACTCACAGTGTTATTGTGATACGGTTCAAGTGATATAAAACAAAACTAAACAGAAATGTAACCACACACTTGGCGCCCCCCACATCCTCGCACATAAACACACTGTACCCATTACACCTATATGGACATGAAGATTATGACAAATTGTACTAGAAGGTTTATAACTATTGTTAATATAGACATTGAGAAGTTTCGTTTTGAAAGGGAAAACTTTGTATGTACATCACCAGGCAACATAATTCATAAATCATTTAAACCAAAAAGGTTCGCTGCATGTAGGACAACAACACAGTTAAAACATGGTCTTATGTGGTGTCAACATTTTTTAGGTAGCCCATGTAAACTGTATGTGTGTTCTTCTACTTGCTACATAATGAGGACCAAAAATGTATGTTTGCTACAGAGTGAGGATATTTTGGCTGCTCCTCACCTTCTGAAACAGCTTTGTGAAGGTTAAGACTTGGTTTTAAGTTTAAGTTTATGTGTTAGGCATTTAGTTCTGATGATTAAGGTAAGGGGGTAAGGAATACATTATGTCAATGAGTGTCCTCACAATGATAGAAGTCGTGTGTGTGTGTGCACTGGCACTGGGCAACATCTGTGTCTTTACATATTAATGCAGTGAAGCAGATGGTTGACAGTGGGAGGTGTTGAGAGCAGGGGCAGTGATGGGTGTGTACATAAGGCCATAATGGAGGGAAGGATGCAAGGAGAAGAGGGCAAGGAAGGAAGGGAAAGCATAAAGCAAGAGAGGAGAGGGAGAGGATGGGGAAAGTGAGAAGGAAAGAAGAGCAACGGAACAGGAGGGATGAGGAGCAGGGAAAGTGGATGGAGGAAGGAGAGGAAAGGTGAAGAGGAAGAGGATATCAGAGCAGTACTGACTGTGGGACACAGAGGAAAAGATTACAGTAATTATTATGTGAGTCCAGCTTCTTTACTTTTGATCCAATAAATAGATTGTGATAGTATTTATAATATTTCTTTTCTCTAGCATTTTTGTTATATACAGTATATAAACCTTGTATCAGTTTGAACAGCCTTAAAGACATAAACATACTCTGCATGGAATAATAATTTGTGTCAGATATAGTTTTTCCACACACACAAATCCAATTACTTAAATTTCTTAGAATTACTTTACCCTAGGTGTGGGAATAGTCTGTCCCCAGTTCACTGAGCTGCAAATGAAACATGACTGACAGTTAAAAAAGCAGAAAAAGGTGAGTGAGATTGTGCAGCTTTTCATTTATTTAACTACATTAACTTGGAAGCATCTTACAACTTTCCTCCTGTGTGCATAAGAATGAAATGAAAGTGTAATTTATTGACCAATAGTAAACCGAAGTTGGAGTCTGTGTGATCTTGTACTTGCTACACAGTGAGGACCAAGAAACTTTTTTTTTTTTTGGCTACAGAGAGAGGACATTTGTGGAAAGTGAGGACATTTTGGCTGTTCCTCACTCTGTGCAGCTGCTTTTTGAGGGTTAATACTTGGTTGTAGGGTTCAGGTTAGAATTAGACTTAGGGTAAGGTGTTGGTTACGGTTTGGCATGTACAACCCCAAATCAGAAAAAGTTAGGACAATATGTTAAATCATGATTAAAACTGAAAACAGTGAATCGTAAATCATCTGTGTCCTGTATTATACTGAAAATAAACAAAACTGGTGATATTGATAACAGCTTCTAAATATAGCATGTAAATATAAATCCCATATTTCAGATATCTTGATTTACATTCAGTCATCTCCCCAGCCTCTTCTCCTCCTGCTCTTTGCTGAGGTGTTGTGTAATGCCTACTCTAGCGTTAACAGCAATGTGTGTGTGTGTATGTGTGTAAAGGCAAAAATGAAGGTAGGTTTCCATGGCAGCCATAAGTTGTAACAGCAGCTTTGTCAAAGCAGATAGATATTAAAGCTGTAGACGGGACTTTAGATACAGTTAGAAGGGGTGTGTGCCTCTTTGTTCTCCTCTCCCTCTCTCTCTTCATATTTCCATTTTATTGTGTCTGTTGTCATGGCGATGTATAGATTTGTTATGCCCCCTTGCCCACCCCCCACCCTCCCTGTCTCCTATTATTTTCTATCTCTGCTGAAGTCTCTCTTCCTCGGCATAGATGCTCAATTCTAGAACAATCGCTAGAGCTCCGCCCCTCTTTTTCTGACATCGCTGCCTGCTGTGTATATGTGTGCTGTTCCATGCTGTGGTGGAAAAATGAGTTTTACATGTGATTGCTGTAGAGCGATGATAGAAATGCACAAGGACACACTCCCTAGTGTTTCATCTACACCAACGCAGCAGTTTTAAAGTGGCCATGGCATGCCATTTAATGTTTAATCTGGGGTACCTCTAGGTAAGCTTTGCATCCATCATAACTCCAAATTGTCTGAAATTATTTCAGAATGACAAAACCTAGGAGCTTCTTCCTAAAAATGAGGGAACACAACTCCTGTTGCCGGTGTTGTTTCAAAGGTGGACAGCACAACAAACTGCAACGGCATTAAAATTTGAATTTCTCCTCCATAGACAGGTAAACAACAGTGTATATACCAATGAAAAGAGATTGGTAACACTCTAAACAAAGAGGGTAATTGAGAAACCCCAAAGTAGTGAAAATAATTGCAAATGGTTAGCGTAGCACTAACAATAACAGAGGATTGTTAGAATCCTCTCATTAACTCGCATCAATCACAGGCACTGTGCTCCAGGGGAATCCAGCATTGATGAGCTGATCATTCACCGCCCCAGGGTGCTTCACTGGCCAGCTAATTGTAGGTTATACCCAGTCAGGTAAAACAGCGAGTCTCTGTACATGAACATTCCTGAACATGCAGTAACCTCAGGCCTTGTATTTTTATCCACATTCTCTGGTCACAGTGCAACAGCAGGAGGTAAAATATATCTACAAACCATGTGCAGACAAAAAAATTCCACTTTTAAAATGACACCGGTGGATGTCAAGTGAGCTCACACAAACTTGCAACTGCCTGGAGATTATGACCATTCAATGAAATCCTTAAAATATCACTTAAATGTCAGTGAGAGTTTGTGAGACGTGTATAAACAGAGTTGCTTCTGCATAGAAATACTAGAACATACATACACCTCATTTTTCGACCTTTAGGTCATGTCTAAGATGATAATTCACTGTTGTAACATTGTAGATAAGTTAGAAAACAAGGAAGGGCATGTCAGGGCACTTTAACGACATCCCATCAGGAATCAGCAGATTTGTGGTCCCAACCAAGGTGATTACAGGATAAATCAGCGCTTAGATAAATGAGAGTCAAAGGTCACCAGCATACAGGATCAGTCTGGGCATGAAAAGAAGAAAAGTACCACTGACCCTTCCCTGAACTGCCCTTTAGCAAGGATCTGAACCTTCACACCCAGGAACTGCCTGGCTGTAAGGAGATTTGGAATTTTTCCTGGTGGGCTGCTCTGTGTCAGCTTGTAAGGGCCAGTCTGTTTTTCCCCCCAAACGTCTTCTCTTAGATTACTGTATATAGCCTTTAAAGATATTCAGTAGGCCACCTTAGGTTTAGAGACATAGCTGAGGAAACCTATAGTACGGTTGAGGACATTTGCCATTACAACTGCAAAGTATCTGGCACTTAAGCAGATCTTTGCATGTGCTTTCAAACTAAGATGAGAAAGGTAAAACCTATGGCTGGTAGTACAGAAAAGGAGGTACGGAAAATAGAAAAGGTTTTGCTGGTTGACACTGCAAAGTTTGCAAAATGACAGGAGTGAGTGTGAAAGTGTTCTTGTGAACATAGTGTGCTGGTGCTAATTTAGTTCTGTGTTGAAACACTTTTTAATACAATTTTGCAATATTTTGAATAATTCTGAAAGGATGCTATTAGGTCCATATAGGTGTCAGGTGATCATTAGTCCTTAAATTTTGAATTTTTGCTTTCCGTACATAAATATGGGGAGAAAATCAAGATCTACATCTTAGCCCAGACAGCTATTAGCACAAATTGTACACAAATTAGCAGAATGCGCTTTGTTAATTAATGATTCATTGATCAATAAACTTATTGTGACAGTTTCATTTTTATGTGTCTTGAGAGAAAATTCCCAGGCTTTTTGTTACCAGTCCACCTGTGTTCACATGGCTCCATTGCAGCTGTAGCACACTTGCAAAAAGCTAACCTGGCTCTATCTGAGGGTGACTTCTCAGCACTGCTAAAACACCTTTTTCGTGGCTGGTGCAGTCACTGTCTTGTGTCAGCAGAAAACATTTGCCATGTTGATCTGATGTGTGTTGGTGTTAGTTAGCTTTAGCCGATGTGAAAGAACTATCAGCAATGAAGGCCAATCTTTGCGTCCTCTCACTTCGGCTTTGTCGGGCCAGTTGGGTTGAAAAAGTGTCGTTATGTGCCTGCGTGAGAGAAATAACCCCCCAAGCAGTTGGCAGTATCTGTATTCTGTAATGAGAAAGGGAAAAAAGAAGAGCTAGAATGGGGGAGTATAAATTATAAACCAAGCACCTCTCGTTCAAAAAAGCTGCTGTTTTAGCTGCTTCTAATCGAGAATATGTCAGATAAGAAGTTGCAAATGGCATTTCCATTCTCTGCCCTTGTTCTTTTGGTTGTGGAAGAAGACAGGAAGTTGTGGAGGTGGACTTATAAACACTACAGCGACAGGCTGAAGGGGCTTTCCTGAATGTTCTCTTCTTGTACATTGATTCACTAAGTTCAACAGCCAATCAACGTGGTCTCTCTCATCGACAAGGCCTGACCACCAACGCTGATTCAACATCTCAAATTGGCCAAAAAGTCACCAACAGGGACCAACTAGTGTCTATGGTGTAGAACAAACCAGGAGGGCGAAACCCGACAGACACTCACTGATTGATTTGCTGCGTCTCTGCCCGTAGAGGTAGCGGTACTGGTAGAGGGGTATTACCTTTGGATAGGCCAGGCTAGCTGTTTCCTGCTGTTTGTAGTTTTTATGCTAAGCTACAGTAAGATAACCATCTGCTGGCTATAGTTGTACCGTACAGACATGAGAGTGGTATCAATCTTCTTGTCAAATTCTTGGCAAGAAAGCAAATGTGCTTAATTCTCTCTCTCTTTTTCACTGTCTCTCTCTTTTATTCCTCTTGCTCTCAGATTGACTGAAGCCCTACCATGCCTGTGGCCTCCACCAGGACTGAGCCTGGTGAGACCAGACACCTTCCTCCTCATTAGTTCCTAGCACCATATGACTAATCATTGTTATTTTATTCATCTCCTCCTAAAAAACAGGAATAAGAGTACAAGAGCATCTGACTTGAGTAAAACTGTAATCTCATTTTATATGAATAATATTTAAAGGATGGATAAATAATTAAATGTAAAGGTAATACATCTAATGTAGTCGTCTAACAAGGGGAGAAATCATAAATAAAAAATACAAAATAGGCTTTCTGTTGGTAATTTGCATTCTACAACTCTGAGGACGGTGTCAGAGTTTTTTGTCTCTGACTTCAGAAATCTCCTCAAAAGCCACATAAAGCATTATACAACTCTTTCCACAGGCAGAGTAGTACTCCAGAATGAGGAAATTCATCTCAATTTATAAATAAGTGGGATGCTCCTACTCCAGTAATAACATTTCAGCATGTCTGTCTCTATACTCCAACCCTGCAGCCACAGCCAGGAGGGCTCCGTCTTGTTTGTCTATCATTTTCATTATTTCTTTTATTGTCCCTCTCCTGTATGTGTTTGTGTGTCTTATAGTGCCCCAGGTGTTGGATGCGATGAGTGACAGCACCACCAGTTCCACTACGGCCAATGACCTAGACCTCATCTACCTCAAAGGCATCATGGAGAGCCCTCTGGTGGGCACACACACACACAAACACCATTAAATACATAGAAAAATTAACTTAGCTCTTTGTACTTGTGTGCATGTGTGTGTGGAACCTTGTTGCCTTGTTGTTGTGACTCTGTGTGCACATACTTTTTCATGCTGCTGTGTCTGTGTGTATCTATGTTTTATATAACTTGTATTTGTGTATTAGGAGCAAGAGGCAAACCTGAAAGAGCCACGTCTGTCGCCAGTGAGGGAGAACAACGTGGAGCTCCTACAGGAGATCCTCAGAGATCTGGACCCCTTCACACATCACTCCGACACTGCAGCTGAACTTGCCCGCATACTCACACAGCCTCACTTCCAGGTGTGCGACACACACACATCTGGACATTAAACTACAATTCTTGGTCATGAAGCAGTTTAAACAAATGTTCTTCAGGTGCAAATTGGCCAAACAAGAGAGGCCAATTGGAATTATGATTTGTATAAATTTTAATTATAACTTTATAGAAACAAGTTGCTTTAATAATCTTAATTATTGTTGGTCAGGTACATATCTTTTCAGCTTAAGAGATGCAAGCACAAGAAAGCACATACAAGTTACATTTGATTACACTCATTTTTATAAACACTACAGTGGCAAAACTATGTAGTGAAAATGACTACACTTTATGCCTAGGAATTTAATATTTAATACTCACAATGTTCATGGCACCAAGCTTGATGACGTAAGATACATGTTTTATATTTAATAAACAACTGATGCAGTATCAGAGTTCTCAGTTCATTGGCCTATTTACTAGAAATAAAGAGAGAAAGAGATTACATGAAAAATAGCCGTTTCTAGTCTAAATATATGTATTTACATATGTACAAGAAGGCTGGCTGAGCTGAGAGTCTGTTCTCTGTCTGTGTCATTTTAGAGATGTTTCATTTGATCTGATCATCATGGAATCTTTCTGGTGGTGTCTTTAGAGTTTAACAGACATTTTGGCTTAAATAAAACTTTCATCTTTGTTTATGAACGTTTTTTTTTGTCTGCAAACTTTGGCAGAAAGGCGTTCAAAACTTTGGCAGCTGAAAACTTCAGATCAGCTTGTCTGTCTGTTCCACAAGAAAGAGTCAAAAATCACAATAACGCTGCTAAATTAAAAAAAAACAAAAACATTTCTTGTAGTGATGCGAGCATATAGTTTAGATAAAGAGAATTTGAGTCAAAAACACAAACACTTTGTTTGATTGGTCAGGAGCCTGTCAGTTGGAGTCCTCTATTATTATAGAAAGACTTTTCTAGTTGGTTCTTTTGGAAGCGTGTTATGGAAATGGTCACGCCCCGTTTCTAGGAGTGAATCTGGGTGTCGGCTTTCACAGAGAGTTGTTTTGTCTTAAGCAAATTTTAAGCAGTTCATACTTCTACTTTCCATCATGGTTTACATTTGAAGCACTTTTATATGATCAACATGGAGGAATCACAACTCAGATAAAGTGTAAGCAACACAGTCTAATAATAAAACACAAGTACCTTCTGTGGAGAGACAGGAATGATGGTTACGTACAGTAACCCAAGCTTCTATGAGTATAGGCGTATCCCCCTAAGAGCTGTCGCTATTGGACGCATCCCAAAAGTAGAAGTGGGTAAAAGGACTGCCCAAAAGTTATTGGACCATGTGTTGCATTTACAGTATGTGTGAATGCTGCATGTCTTGTTTAGGATGTTCTGGTCTGTGTCAATTAGAGATGATGTGCAGCACATCCTGGTTCTTCTTGTTAGATGGACAGAGACAGAGAGAGATCACTTTATTAATTCCCAAAAGGAAATTTGTTGTTTTAGCAGGAAATATATTTATACCAAAAACAAAACAAAGAAAAAACAATTTAAAAAAGATAAAATAAATAAATAGCAGTCCTCTCAGTCCCAGTACTGTTCATGAAGTGAATTTATGAGATTACTCCTATTAAATAGTGCCTAATTGCACCCAGCAGGAAAGACCTCCGGTAGCTCTCCTTTGTACACTTCGGGTGAATCAGTCTATTGCCAAGCTCCTGTGGTTGGTAAACACTCAGTAGAAGGGGTGGGAGGTGGTTTCCAGAATCACCTGCAGTTTATTCAGCATTTTGTCTTTTACTACCTCCCCCAATGTGGTCAGCTTGCCTTCTTAATGACTTTATTCAGTCTGTTGGCATCAGCAGTGTAGTGCTATTTGATGAAGTACCTGAGTGCGCCTATGATTTGCACATGCATGCACATGGTTAAGTCATGGCTTGTTTCAAGGGGCATGTAAGCACTTCCAACTATGGGAACTGTAAACACTATAAACACAGTCATATTTTAGACTGACTTTATTCTATGGCAGAATAACAATGTCAGTTAGTAGCCATTTGTCACAGCGTGAATGCTACAGCCACAGATAATCTTATTACTAGGGTGTAATCTCCACGGGGGACTAGGGTACGCATCCCAGGCCAAAATGTGAAAAACAGAAATTAGATTAATATGACATATTTTGATACTTTGTGTCTGTGAAATGTTTTTCTTTGTCAGTCTCTTCTGGAGACACATGATTCTGTGGCGGCTCAGACAGGCGATAGCCCACCCCCTAGCCCCTGTGATTCTGTGGATCATGAACTGGAGGACGACCACATAGACAATTTGCAGCCACTACCTGATGCAGTGCGCATGGTGGGCATACGCAAAGTGGCAGGAGAGCATCTGGTAGGTAGCATTAAAGCATAAACACAGCTGACATGGCTGTGGTCATTCCACTGCTATTCACTATAATAGCATTTAATCATTCAAAATCATTCATCATCATTAATCATTCAAAACTGCAGTGAAAATATTGATTTTCTATTAAAAGAAAATGAGCCCCAATTCCTGAATGTTAGTACAGTAGTACACGACAGTGGGTCATGTTTATTTGGCTCTATTTACTACCACTGTATACAGAATATGCTGATTTTATTATCGTTAATGACAGAAACAAGTTCACATTAATTGTGTTTTAGGGTGTAACGTTCAAGATGGAGGGCGGTGAGCTGGTGATAGCTCGCATACTCCATGGTGGGATGATAGACCAGCAAGGATTGCTGCATGTTGGAGATATCATCAGAGAGGTAAGTTAGCCCATCAAGTCACCATTAGTCACTGCCTCAATTGGTTTGGTTTATAGTGGGAAAATAAAATTGCACAGTTTTAAAATCTAAGTTGTAAAGTGTTTCTTAACGGAATATATATATTAATCTTTGGTTAGTTTTGAGAAGACTCAAGTAAAGGGATACAAAGTATCACGAGAACACTGAGAATCCACAATCTGCCACAGAGATCCCAAAAGTACTATCTACACTTACTAGTTACTAATTTGTGCTGTCATGTAATTGTTTCTTTTAATTTGCATGCAATGTTTTAATCTAATATGCATTCTTTTTTTATCTATGTATGCATATCTGTGTGCATTGTGTTAAGTTCTTTGAATTGCCTTTCGGTATACATTTTTAACAGTTTATAGTTATGTAGCTTGCATACACTTACACTTATGGAAAACTTATCATTATACCTGTTCTGGACCATTCCTCCCTACATAATCAGGGACTAGTCCTCAAACTTAATTATTTTGACATACTGTATGACAAAATTCAATACTGGGTAACTACATTCTTGTCTGCCCTTAACATGGGAGTACCTCAAGGCTCTGTCCTAGATCCTTTTTCTTTTCTATCTGTGAACTCCTTGCTACCCTGCCATCTTCTGATAAAGTTGCTGCAAATGTCATTTATGTGCTAATTCAGAACCTTTTGTCCACTGTGCTGGCAGGTGAATGGACGAGTGGTGGGCCGGGACCCCAGGGTGCTGCAGGAGGAGCTGCAAGCAGCTAGTGGAAGTATGGTTCTGAAGATACTACCCAGCTACCATGAAGCCATACCACCAAGACAGGTGACACATACAAACACCACACACAGAGCAGACACATATGGTCATGCTCCCAGCCATATGTTTTGCCATTTGCTAGATTGTTTTTGCTTTTTTACTATGAAATGGCCAAAAAATATATTCATTAAAAAGCACAGAATGCCAGTCATTGAGGACACAAAACCACAGACTCAGATAATGACCCCATCTGTCTTTCTCCAGGTGTTCTTTAAGTGTCATTATGACTATGACCCAGCCAATGACAACCTGATTCCCTGTAAGGAGGCAGGCTTAAGGTTTGAAACAGGAGATATCCTGCAAATAGTCAACCAGGATGATGTCAACTGGTGGCAGGTGGAGTACAGAAACACCCAATATACATCATACATGTGTGCATGCATTTTCATTTCTTTGTGTTGCATGGCTGTTTATGAAGCAGGCAGAAACCTGCTTAAATTTTAGATTTTCTTCAGATTAAAATCTAATAAAACCACGAGTGTTAGTTACATTCTGTGTGTGTGCATGTGTTGTAAAGGCTCGTCATGTGGAGGGTGGGAGCACTGGGCTGATCCCCAGTCAGACGCTAGAAGAGAAAAGGAAAGCTTTTGTCAAGAGAGATGTGGTCTTGCCTTCTGCAGGTAATGAGAAAGAAAGAATAATGAAAACAAAGAAAAGAGGTTGATAAACAACAGCCCTCATTAGTCTTACACTGCCATCTGGTGGTAAAAGACCAGGCCTGCAAATAAATGTCATGTACATATTTAGTCAGTACAACCAATAAACTAATAATCAGAGACACTTTTATAAACAGGGGTTATAGAAAAGTCTAAATTTAAAAATCACACAAATACGCCTGCTGGCAAGTGACTGCAGTTAGAGTACTGTTATATCAAGATGACAGTGGGCTGTTGAGGATGAAAGGAAATCTCAGAGATCTGAGAGTCATGTTTTTTTTTCATTCATCTTGCTAAACATAACTACTACCTTTTTCAGGAATCTCTATTTCAGCCAGCAGATGGCTATTTATAGTATATTTGGCAGGGCCCTGCACTCTTATAGGGCTTTTGAAAAGTCTGGGCTGCAGTGAAGATTACTCTGGGAGAACTATTGCCTATATTAACATACATTAACAATAAATGAAAGTTAAATTAAGAGCCAGTGTTTGTTGAGTCTGAATGAGGCAGCTCATGCCAACTAATCTGAAGCTGTTTTTATGTGACAGGAAATCTTTGTACTGGTGTTGGAGGGAAGAAGAAAAAGAAGATGATGTATGTGACCACAAAAAATGCAGGTAACAAAACCAGAGCCCTGTACTGAAATTATATCTTTTTTTTCTTACTTATTCCTTACTAATATGCTGTTTCCCCATGAAACATCTGGAAAATGAGATGGCTCTCTTGCTTTATTTATTTCTTCTCCCTCTCCTGTGCCCTTCCCTCTTCCAATCTCTCTACCTTCTAGAGTTTGACAGGTATGAGATACTGCTCTATGAGGAAGTGGCCAAGGTTCCACCTTTCAAGAGGAAGACCCTGATTTTGATTGGTGCCCAAGGTGTAGGGAGGCGGAGATTGAAGACCAAGCTTCTGCTGAGGGATCCACAACTATTTGGCACTACCATTCCATGTATGAAATGTGCTATATTAAAGTATTTAGAAAAGGTTTTATTATTAATCAAGTTATGTGTGTGTTTGTTGGGGGGATTCTGAGATTATATTAATCAGTGTGTGTGATCACACTTTACCTTGATGTTTTAGTTGTTTACTGGTCAGACAGCTTTTGTTTAATAACTAGGAAATGTAAAATGAATCATGACTTCCTGTGAAATTCTCAGGGAATCTAAAATACTTTTAAACTCTGTGTAAAAACTTTGGAGAACTATCAAAATATTCAGATACAGCTACAGTAAACTTGTTTCACAGAATTTAGCTGTGTTGCAGTGTTGTTTAAGAAGCAGGATGTACATTTCAGAGCAATCATGTAGCACCAATACATTGTTAGTAACAGACTAGATGAACAATTATTGCTGTTGGGTACAAAGTCACGCTGTACTCTGCAGCTAAATATTGTTCAAATAGAACTTAATTTTGAATTATTGTGGAGATTCAAGTCCAAAAATTCCAAATATGGTAGGCTGAATTTTAGGGCAATGTGTGTAAGGTGATGCACAAGACATCCGGATAGGATATTTCCACTTGATGAAACGGTGGAGCCTTACAAAAAGACTTGTTTGAAAGCTGAAACATGCTAATACATAATGTATATACCAACAGCATAAGATTTAAATAAAGTCTTAAATAAGAAACAAAGAAAGGAAAATGCATGTCATTGCATATGTGCACGCTTTTGTGTTTGTCCAGATACCTCCAGAAAGCCCAAAAAGGGGGAACGGGATAGTCGAATGTATGCCTTCACCAGCCGCAGCAAGATGGAGGCTGATATAAAGAACGGGCGCTATCTTGAACATGGAGAGTATGATGGCAACCTGTATGGAATCAAGATCGACTCCATACATGAGGTGGTCGAGGCAGGACGCATCTGCATTCTGGATGCCAACCCTCAGGTGTGCATACACTCCAGCACAAACACAGTACAGCACTCACTCATTTCAGCTCTGTTTTGGTCAGTATCTGGCTCTTCAAGAGATAATCTGAATGGTTATCACTACACAGTTGTAAATGTTTATAAGCACTTGTGTCATCTTATTTGTATTTTCTTGTACTGTTTTGTGTTTTCAGACTTATATATAGATGAGATTCAGCTTAATAGAAAAGATAATGTGCACGTTGGGAAGAGATTTTAAAAAAAAGAACCAATGTTCACCAGCTAGTTCCTGACTGTGTCTGTTTGATGCTCATGCAGTAGTGTACAGTAGGTTTAAATTTGCTAGCAATAAAATTAAAACTGTGGGCTAAATAGGCTGAAACATTTGGAGCTGTAGAGTCTCATGATACTGTATTTCTTTGTGGGGCAGTCACGCCTTTCACATTTCACAGTCATTTGATTTATTTTTAGTATCAAAATGCTGATTAATGCAGCTTTAAGAAACCAAAAGATTTGACTCTTTTTTTCTTCAGTCATTATTTTCTGTGGGACTTTGTCACTCTTGATGTTCCATAAAGAAAATTCACACAGTTTGAAGTGTTGTAGACACAGGTTCAGAGAATTGTTCATCAAACTCTATTGTAGTTTTTGAGCTGGCAGTTGGTAGCACTGGTCAGGACTACATTATACCTTTCATCCTTCCCATATGTAAATGAGGAGGACAAAATACTACAACCTAGTACAACAACACCACAATATGCAGCCTCAAAAATTAGCTCAACACACAAGCCTTAAGGCTCTCTGTGTTCACTGCATAGTTGCTGTGTTCCATTGCAGGATATCAAATTGGTTTTTATGTTTTTGTAGTCAGTTATCTTGAAGCTGCCCAGTATGACTGTTCCCTGTTGGCCTCTGAGGAGTTTGATTCAGTTAGTTGAATGTCATGGGTCTTGCTCAAGGTCATCTTACATCAACTCACATTTTAGTATAAAAGTCATTTGCTGTCACCACTCAGGAATCTCCAGCCACTTGACCCAGCTGTTCAAACTCTCTGAGAACTTTTTCAGATCTAATGTGCTGATGTGTTCCAGTCCCTCAAAGTGCTGAGGACCTCCGAGTTCTTGCCCTATGTGGTGTTTCTTCAGTCACCAGACTTCGAGGTGCTCAAGGCAATGAACCAGACTGTTGTTGATGCAGGAGGGGTCACTAAGACACTGACAGTAAGAAACACCTTTTCTATGTTCCTAAACATAAAGGAATCATTTTTAGCCTAAAAAATAACACAGAACTCACTATAAACTGAAAGAGGACCTGTGATTCCAGTGAGAGCCTAATAAGAATATATAAAACCAGCTTCTGTGTTTTCCATCTCAGGATGAAGAACTGCAAAGGACGTGTGACGAGAGTGCTAAAATCCAAGCAGCCTATGGTCACTACTTTGACCTCAGCATCATCAACGACAACCTGGACGAGACCTACCGCACCGTTAAAGCTGCACTGGAAACGGTTTCTAAAAACCCACAGTGGGTCCCTGTCACCTGGGTGTTCTAAAAAGAGGCCGTTGGGGGCAGAGGAGAGAGGGAACATGAAGAACAAGAGAGTAAACAGAGGGACTGAAAACATACCACTGTTTATATAAAAGATATCTTTATTTACTGCAGAATTTCATACATTTTCACAGAGATTAAATCTGCCCTTAGCATCAGAAAACCTTTTGCTGAAGTAATAGCACTGCAAGAACATTTTAAGTGTGTAAATAAGACAGCCATTATTACAGCGCATTATATTTTTCAGGATAGCAAGCACTAATAAGAAAGAATAAGAAGGAAAGCCCAAGGTGGTAAAGACAAATTAAGTCCTGAATGTGAGACATTCACAGATTCTGCTTGGACATGTCAAGTATTCTGTGTGTGTGTATGTGTCTGTGTGCCTTTGTATTACTTACATTATGGGGACTGAGACTTGTTAACACACTCACATTGTGGGGACCCGGCAATCACTGAAATTATAGAATTTTAGGGTGGCAACATGGTTTAAGGTTAGGGTGAGGTTAGGTGTTAGGTATTAGGATTAGGGTTAAGTAAGTAGTGGTTATGGTTAAGGTTAGGATAAGTCTACAGGAAATGAATGTAAGTCAATGTAAAGTCCCCACAAGGTCTGAAAACACAGCATGTGTGTGTGTGTGTGTGTGTGTGTTTGCAGAAGAGAGCAAAGATTCTGTGTGATGATAAATTAAGTGTGCCATTACTTATGATCATCAGCAGTCACTGTTTACATTTCATGAGGTGGAACACTACTGATGAGTACACTTAATGTATAAGCTGTACGGGGAGATGAAATAACCGGCTATATAACTTACAAGAGATCAAATAGCCATAACCAAGTGGTCTCCCATTTACATTTTTTAATTTGACTAGCCTTTTCAGCCCAAAGCAGCACTGGCTTCAACACAATTTTCACAATTGGACAATGTTATACTTGACAGATTAGGGGTGATTGAGCGATGACAGCGATGAACAAACCTCACAGAGTTTTGTGCCTTTCTTGTCATTTTTTATTTCATTAGAATATCCAATTGGAGATCGGTTGTATTGCCTGTCTGTATACGCCTCTAACACCCAGGCCAGACCTTCAGCCCAGCAGTTCCTAAAGTCTACAACCAAATTCATTTTCTGCTGTGCAAAAAATATTATTCATCCTTAGCCGTTGCTTTTTCCTTGTGACATACTTCTTACCTGTACTACTTTAGTGCAGACAGTGTTTTCTAAAAGTCATGAGTATTACTACCTTGAGGCCTGGTCACACTGAATATTCTTTGGTCGTCTTGCATGCACAGCTCTTTTAAGATCTACCCACAAATTTTCAATGATGTTTAAATCAGGGGACTGTGATGGCCATTCCAAAACCTTCAGCCTGCGTCTCTTGAGGTATTCCATAGTGGATTTCGAGGTATGTTTAGGATCATTGTCCTGTTGTAGAAGCCATCCTCTTTTCAGCTTCAGCTTTTTTACAGATGGTGTGATGTTTGCTTCCAGAATTTGCTGGTATTTAGTGGAATCCATTCTTCCCTCCACCCGTGCAATGTTTCCTGTGCCACTGGCTGCAACACAACCCCAGAGCATGATAGATCCACCCCCATGCTTAATAGTTGGCAAGGTGTTCTTTTCATGAAATGCTGCTCCTTTTTTTCTCCAAACATGCCTTTGCTGATTGTGTCCAAAGAGTTCTATTTTAACTTCATCAGTCCACAGCACTTGTTTCCAAAACGCATCGGGCTTCTGTAGATGTCCTGTTGCATACTTCAGACGTTGGATTTTATGATGGGGACGCAGATAAGGTTTTCTTCTGCTGACTCTTCCATGAAGGCCTTGTCTGTGCAAGCATCGCTGCACAGTGGAACGGTGCACCACCACTCCTGAGTCTGCTAAATCTTCCTGCAGGTTTTTTGCAGTCAAATGGGGGTTTTGATTTGTCTTTCTGACCAGCATACGAGCAGTTCTGTCCGAGAGTTTTCTTGGTCTTCCAGATCTCATCTTGACCTCCACAGTTCCCCTGATCTGCCATCTCTTAATTACATTTCTTACTGTGGAAACTGCAAGCTGACAACGCTTTGCTATCTTCTTGTAGCCTTCTCCTGCATTGTGGGCATCAATAACTTTCATTTTCAGGGTCTTACACAGCTGCTTAGAGGAACCCATGGTTGCTGGGTGTCCACAAGTGTGTGCACAAGGTTTGAAGAGTCAAAGTATTTGTACAGCTTTGAAATTGGCATTTACCAATGACAGCTGTTGCTGTGCATCAGATCTAACGAGCTGATTAAGGTCTGATACCTTGTGAGAGACTTTGAGACTCTGGAACTCTTAGGGTGCCCAAACTTTTGCACCATGCCATAATCATGTTTTTATTTTTTATTTTTGTTCAATTTATGGCATAAGAAGTAACTATGCATCACTGTTTGCAGAAAATATTGTGCATTTTTTCCATTTCCAAGAGAAACTGTGTTAACATCTGTTCAAATAAAAAATCACCAAAATCTGTTATTTATCAAGGGGTGCCTAAACTTTTGCATAAGACTGTAACAGCAACACTTCAAGAACTGTTGTGATTAGTTGATTTGTTTGTGAGGGGAAAGTAAATGCACCATTTTTGCATTTAACATTGACACACAAATTTACACTGTGGAGCAATAGTGAGCTGTCCTGCAACGTGAACCTTTGGGAGGACGGATGGCTGTCAGAAAGAAGCGATTGTAGCTCATTAGCCACATCCCACCACATTCACTGTTATCAAATACTTCTCTGTTGAAGTACAAACGGGCCTACAAAACACATGGTTTATACACAGCCGTGGGACTAATGTAAAAGGTACAAATACGTCTCTTGAATAAACTGAGTGAACTTGCTGTCCTGGTAAGCCCGAGCCAAGCTAGAGACTGCTGGCAACCTTGTTAACTCAGAAAGTTTTACTTTCCCTCTTTGGTAACTTTTTATTGACCAAAATTGTGTCCATTGATGAACAAAATGCCAACGGGGAGTAAACACAACAGTAGAGACAAAGTAAGAGAATTTCCTGGAGCATTTTAGGCAGATTCCACCAAAATGTTGTGCATATTTTTGTATAGTATATCTTTAATATTTGAGTTTTGAGATGAACAGCAAAATAAAATAAGAATGAATCCATGTTTCCATCTACTAATTTTATGGGAACCGTAGCATAATATGTGGTTCATCGAGATAAACAGCTGGTGTTAATTTCCATGGTGGTGCCATTAAACCTTCGCACATCCATGTAATGTCATGATTTATTTGCTAAGTCTGTTTCTATTGTACTTTGATGCATGTTGCTTTTATTGATAGACCAATGTTTCCACCTCAGCCAAGCATATGAACTTGTATGCAGTATTTCAAATGTTTTTTGCATTACTTATGGTGTTCCCACTCCTTTTTTTAAAGCACAATTGAAAAAGTGCAGAAAAACTGGTGGATGGAAACCCATCTACCGTGGCATTTAGCTACCAAATTAGCAGTTAGCTCACTAGCTACAGCAGTTCACCAGCTATCCCTGTGACTATAGTCACTACATTGGCAGGCTTCTCAAATCAAATATTACACAAAGATGTGGAGATTATTTTTGCTGTACCACTCTCTGGTGGTACAGCATTTACGTAAATGCTGCACCTACACTTAGATTTCACTTTGGGCTGTCACCTAGAAAGTATCTCATGGAATTAAAGGTTTTTCCTAGGTAACCAGTATTGTCAGCAATCATAAAACATGTTATACCAAAACAACCTATTAAGTATGGAATAGTTGATACTGACATTGTGTAGTAACTTACAAGCTGTTCACAATATATAAACAGAAATGCATTCAGTTATATTAGAATAAAAGATCAGATTCCAGTCAGACACTGAGCTTGAAACTAAGTCTTACCCCAAGATCTAATGGCCCTCAGTATGGCTTACAGATAAATGATCATTTTTAAACCCCTTGTACACACAAACAAACACACACACACAAATACACAAACAATGAACATATTGTACAGAAGCTCTATTTCATTACATTGCATTTCATAAGAATGGGCATTTCTGTTCAACATGTGTTACCATTCCAAATTTGCACTTTTTATTTTGTAGTTTATATAAAACCTAAAACCTGTTGCAACCTATTTAGGTCAGTTGTACACAGCATGTAGATAGCAACTAGATACACCATGATATAGTAGATACTAATATAGTAGGCATGAGCCTTTACAGTATGTGACACTAATGATCATTTTTAGAATGTCATTAATAAAGACATACAGTATTTGGTAGGCTGCAAGTGAACAACACAACAGCTGAAGCACTTAAAATGTAAAAGTACAAAGAAAATTTTAATTTCAACTAATTTGTATCATCTTTTTATTCTTTTGATGTTTAATTGTCCTGTACTGCACTTGCAGGCTGACATATATGTATTGTAACACTGTCCATGTGCCAACTGCAAAAGGCTCCCTGAGCTGCTTGTTTGTTCTCAGATCTTTTAATGGGGCAGCTACTGAATACTTCTGATGCACAATGAAGCATTTAGTGTTAAATGTGAAAGCATTGTGTTTATCAAATATAGCTACTCACACTCAGACCAGTTTTTTTCAGCTGAAAGGAGACACTATTAGTTGTTCAGCCTTTGTAAATCTTTTTATATTTATGCTCTAGTTGCAGCTTGAGCAGATTTTGTCTGTCAGCTACATTTGGATTTGGATTTAAAGTATTTGGTGTTGAGATGCATCACATTTGTTGATCTCTTGAGAACATTCCAAAACCTTATTGTCATCTTTCTATGAAATCTCATAAATGCAATAAAACAAATGAGGTCATTGCAATGATATGCATTTAAGATTGTCCATACTGTATATCTACAATGTATTCTGTACATACTGTATGACATCTATGAACATCATGCTTGTCCATCCTGGATGAGGGATCCCTCCTCTGCTGCTCTTCCTGAGGTTTCTTCCATTTTTTTCTAGGTAGAGTTTTTTGCCGGGAGTGTTTCGCTATCTGAGTACAGAGGGTGCCATATGTTGCAGATTGTAAAGCCTTTGAGGCAAATTTGTGACTTGTGATATTGGGCTATATAATTAAAATGTGATGACTTTATTTGACTTAACATCCTGGTTATAGCCAGTAGCAGTAGTGTAGTTGTACACAGCTCTAAAGTTGGACTCTGAATTGAACTGAATTTGTATTATTTTGTTGTAGGGCAGCTGATTTCAGAATCAGAAACTGTTCATGCTTCTGTCGATACTGAATAAATTATTGATTTGATTGAAATTATTTGAGATTGTGTTTGTATTTTTGTAGAAAAAGCTTTTTTCTTTTGTTTTTTTTTTAATATATTTTTGGCTTCAACTAAAATATTTCATTAATTGTAAAAAGGACCCCGCCTCTCCCCCAGTGTCAGCTAGGATTGTCTCCAGACCCCCTGCGACTCTTTTCAGGATAAGTGGTATAGATAATGGATGGATGTAAAAAGGATTCTCATTACATTCTCAAGGGGATGAACTGTGATCTCCTGTTATCTGACAGGATCATCAGATCAAATTCAAATTTGTCCAGTACTTTGGTTTATGACTTCATTCTTTAACAAAAGGCTTTGTTGTATTTTGTATTTAATGCTAAGTAGCAAAAAATTGTTTGCTGAAACTTGAGACTGTAATGTTGAATATGCTAAACATTATGTCTGCTAAACATAAGCATGTTATCAATATAATTGCGAGCACGTTATCATGCTGATGTTAGCATTACTTCTGCATCTACATAACATGGCTGTTAGCATAGCAGTTAGTATGGCATTTGTTTCTTAGTTATGAAATTGTATAATCTGAATTACAACTGTGGCACAGGTACATTTCAGATTTTATATACTAAACATTTGCACAGCATATCTATCAGACCAAGCCAGTATACATTTAGCATTTCAGCAAATATTTATTTTATTTTTATGTTATGTTGTATGCATGTTATGTATTTTAATGTTTTAATTTTTAAGTTATTTTATGTCATATTCTAATACTTAATTTTACTCGTGCTTTTATCACAGCCTTAGGACTGTACCACCTTGCATTTTATTCCAAAAAAATCATAAATTTAACCTTTAAATCTTTTATCCAAACTGAAAAAAATAATATATGAGTGGGCCCCAAATTGCATTGACTGCATATCAGCTCTGAATGAATCTTTCGTCACAACCATGCAGTGGAACTATAACTATTTCAGCTCTACAATAAGATAGTTAAAAACATTCATCATAAGGCAGTTCAGTGAGCAGGAAGAAATTAGATTTGGGTGTGTGTACTCCACTATGAATAGAGTCTAATGAAGTGATAAACAGCCAGCTCTCTCATCTCTGCCAGTCTCATGTCCTTGGCGTGGAGAATGTGTTATCCACTCTTTTCAATCTGGGGTCAGAATTTCCAAAATGTCATGTGGTTTATGTCTAACCCCACCCCCAACCCCAACCCTCCAAACAACCCTCTCCTCTTCTGCCCTGCAGTGGAAATTAACACCAGCTGCCTCATTGGAGAACAGCTTCCTTCTTTCTCTTTATCCTTCACTCAAATTTTATCATTTAAAAATATTTTTTGATCCTGAGCATTTTATTCTGGATTTTTCCTGGCTGTTCTTCTTCTCTACTCTGCTGTTTCTTCTTCATCCTGCTGTTTAGTGATTTCAAACCTCTCTGCTGCTATGTGGTGGTGGCTACTTGGTGTATTGAGCTGTGTGCTGTTGGCGGCAGTTGTCATTTTCTTCCTAACCACAGGGCAACGTTACAAGGTGTTCAGTGACAAGTGCCTGAGGCCACTTAAACCACTGGTCACTGACAGCAAACAGAGGGATGCCAGGCTGAAGAGAGGTAAGAAAGATTTCTGGTATAGCCTTGAATCTTGGTGTCTCTCGATGACTGACAGATGCTATATGATAATTTGTCTACAAGTATGTTCCATTACAGTATATGATCTTTCAGCCTTATTTGACCAAATAATGACTCAGTGTCTGTATGTATACAAATATAATGACTTGCAGTAGATGCAGTGCTGTTTGGTCCACCAGTTTAGTGAAACCCAAGATAGATGAACTATTGGATGCTTGTTATTCTTTCAATTTTCATTTATCTGTCATTTTGTACAACATGTCATGGTGCCCCCCCAAACTGGGTGATTTCCTGGCTTCTCTTCTAGTGCCACCATGAGGGACTTTTGTCGTTTAGATTTTAATGACCTTGTTTATCCTCTGACTTTTCCTCTAGTGCCACCAGCAGGTCAAAGGTTTCACCTATCCAATAAAATTAAAATTAATGAATGGATTGGCATAAAATTCTGTGCTGACAATCATGAGTCCATTCATGGCATTGCTCTGATAAATGTACAGTAGGTTTGTAGATTTGTTAGCCAGTCCACCCTTTTGGTCTAGAATGACATAACTCAAACATTTACTTTTTAGATGCCACCTATTGGTATCTCATATGTACTGTAACTGCTTAAACTGTCAACATGTCATTTTGAGAACTAGAAACGGAGTCTAAAAATCAGTGTTGTAGTCAAGCCACTAAACCTCAAGTCTTGAGCCCCCAGTGTTTGAGTCTGAGAAAAGTCCAAATCACCAAAAAATAATCCAAGTCAAGTAAAAGCTGAGCCCCCATTACCCAAGTGTGAGTCATCAGGGTGTACATTAAACACACAAGTGACACAGTTTTCACCATTTTAGATTCCAAACTTTCTAACAGTGTATCGCATCCCCACATCGCTCAGTGATTTGATACATGAAAATCATTTATAGAAAAGCAGGGTGTATGCTTCGATGGAATTGTGCCAAATATAGCATGGTGTGGGTGAACACGTTTTAATATAAATATCTCATGCCAAATTATTATGGCCTATTATAAAAAAAGGGTCAGAATCCTTGTCTCCAATCTCTGGGTCCGAATGCAGTCAATGCTCGAATCCGAGTCCAAGTCCAAGTCTGGGTCATCAGTGCTAAAGTCCAAGTCGCGTTATAAGTGCTGACAACCCCTACTTTTTCAAACATAATTATTCATCCCAATACAGAATAGAATTTAGTTTGGCCTCAAAAAATTATGTACAAGTCAATCTGTCATGGTGATTACAAAATGTCATCTGTGTTTCCCTGCAGGGTTTCGTGTAGACTGTATTCCACCAGCTCTGGATGCAGTGGTGATTGGCAGTGGTGTGGGAGGTTTGACAGCAGCAGCTCTTTTGTCCAAAGCCGGGAAGAGGGTTGTAGTACTGGAGCAACATGATCAAGCCGGAGGCTGCACTCACACTTTCCAAAATATGGGATTTGAGTTTGATGTGGGTAAGATGCTGAAGTAAACACACACCAGCACACTTAAATCATATAGTATTCCAATGCAGCTATAATGTGTCTTTTCCCACCAAACAAAGATCATTATGATATGTTCAAGGAAAGATTTGTAATTAGATTATTTAGCTTAGAAGTTCAGTTATCTTACATTGTACTGGGTCCGTGCTTCATCCAAATGTCAGCATGTTTAAAATTAGCTTCATATTCAGTGAAGCTAATATGATTAAGATTCAGTGATATGAATATTACTTAATGATTAACAATCTAGTAATTGTATTCAATTTGCTTTCAGTTGAATTGATTTGTAATGCCAAACAATGATTGCCAGCTGAATTATTTAAGCATGTCAGTAAAATGGACACCGAACACAGCAGAGGCAGAGATAACTACAGTGTACAATGTAAATGTACATGTGTAATGTATAATGTAAAGCACTAAATCATATTGCATGATTATCCTTCTGTGTTTGGCGTGGCACAAAACTGCTACACTAAACACAGAAGTAAAGTACTGATGTGGGTTTAAGTTTAAATTATTGAAATTTTGCTCCATGACTGAATGAAGACTGCGTAAGAGTATCAATTTTTAAAGAAGGGCTCAAGAATGATCTCTAGGGCTACAAACCCTGGGATATAGTATGTTTTATATATTAAAGCTTTTTATAAATCTGGTTAATTTACCCAGTGAACTGCCCATGCTAGGTATCCATTATCTGGGCCAGCTTCATGAAAACAGTCTGCTGAAGGTTGCTTTGGATCAGATCACGGAGGGACAGCTGCAGTTTACACGGCTGGAGGAGCACTTTGATACCCTCATCTTGGGTCAGCCTGGCCAGCACAGGTAGAGGATATCTTGTTACTTGGTAAAGCATTTCTTCTTTATTTTTTGCCTTTATCCTCTTTGTTCTGTAAGAGGTTTCTTTATTTGCTCTGCATTATAAAGTGACTACCGTGCATAATCAACTGCAACATATCAACAATAAAACTTGACTATGAACTATATACATCTCTTTGTCAACACAGAACTGGACAGAATTAATAAAACAGAGACAGTTAACAGTTTAGTTAAGTAAATAAAAATACCATTTTCCACCATCTCTGACCCATCCTATACTTCTCTGTCATTCTCAGAGAATACCATATCCATGCTGGGAAGACTGAGATGGCAGCTAGCCTGAAGCAGCAGTTTCCAGGAGAAGAGGAGGCTATTGATGAGTTCATGAGATTGATAAAGGTAGATAGGGAGGGAGGTAATGATGATCATTAAGGATGAAAAGGAGAAGAAGGGATGAAAGAAGGCCGTAAGAGTCAAATAATTGAACAAGATTGTGAAGTTAAAGTTGTAGTATGAACAGTGGCATGATGAACATGTGAAATGCAACAAGGCTCAGGCCTGAGTCCCCTGGCCTGGTGAACTTAGTCCTCTTTATTGACTTGCACCAAAGAAAAAAAAAAAACTTATCTTCAAAATTACATCATTTGCATCATTCTGTGGGTATATAATCAAAATTTCACTTGCTAATTATTTTCCAGTTATTTATATTCAAGGGACTTTGAGGCAACAAGCAGTACCTACATTGGATAATTAAACTTTGAAACTGATGTTGCTTTTATTCTCCTAATTGGCCTGTCTACTCTTTGCTGATTAAGAAAATAGCATTCAAGGAAATCAGATACAGTAATTCAGTAAATTCCTATCATTTCCTGCATTGTAGTTTCTGTGGTTTCCACAACCACATGATGAGCTGTGGCAGCAGGTTAAAGAAGTGGAACATTATAAACTATGTGTCACAGAGCTACACCTGTTCACAGGAGCAGTGGCTCCCTTTCGGTGGAGACAGGAACTCATCTGTAAACACCTTTAGTGCAAACACTGCATTTCTCATTTAAAAGGTGCTTGACAAGTAAAAAGTATTACTGACTCTGATTGATGTTTCTATGTCCTGCTTTTGCAGTTGGCTTCACGGCGGATGCCACTTATTGCCACCTTGAAGATCATACCATTTTGGCTGGTTAACTTCCTAGTTCGGACTGGCCTATTATATCGCATATCTTCAGTGTTTCGTCTAGCAGCAAACAGCCATTCAGACATAATATCTCACCTCACGCAGAACAAAGACCTACAGGCACTGTCTGCCTACCTGTTCTATGGTGCTGGAAAAACATACACATACAGAAATACATACTGTAATACAGATGACACACATACTGTGCTCTTTAGTCTTCTGCATCATCCCCTTTTTTTGTAGGTGTGCCTCCTAAAGAGTCCAGCTTTCTCATCAATGCTCTCCTAATTCAACACTACAAACGTGGCGCTTACTACCCACGAGGGGGTGCCAGTGAGTTTGCCTTTCACATCATCCCTGTCATTCAGAAGGCAGGTGGCGCTGTGCTGGTCAGGGCTCCTGTGCAACGCATTTTGCTCGACCGACAAGGAAAGGCCTATGGTGAGAAATGAAAGGAGAAGGAGTTTGCTCTTTTTTATGTACTTATGCATAGATTGGTTCATGAAAGCTTTTAGTTCTGTTTTCCATTTGCATAGTGGAATCTCACAGAACCAGACAAACAAAAGAAGGGGAAAAAAAATAATCTAAATATAAAAAATAAAACAGAAATAGAAAGAACATAATATAACCAGTAAACACACTAGTCAGCAGGACAGCAGTTAAGTCCAATGCTGACATTTTAGTCACCCTAGTATATAGGAATATATACTATATACAGTGGAGCAAATAAGTATTTGATACACTGCCGATTTTTCAAGTTTTCCCACTTACAAAGAATGGACCGACCTGTAATTTTCATCGTAGGTACACCTCAACTGTGAGAGACAGAATCTACAAAAGAATTCCAGTAAATCACATTGTTAGATTTTTAAATAATTTATTTCCATTTTATTGCATGAAATAAGTATTTGATACAATAGAAAAATAGAACTTAATATTTGGTACCGAAACCTTTGTTTACAATTACAGAGGTCAGACGTTTCCTGTAGTTCTTGACCAGGTTTGCACACACTGCAACAGGGATTTTGGCCCATTCCTCCAAACAGGTCTTCTTCAGATCTTTCAGGTTTTGGGGGGTTGTCGCTGGGCAACATGGAGTTTCAGCTCCCTCCACAGATTTTCTATTGGGTTCAGGTCTGGAGACTGGCTAGGCCACTCTAGGACCTTGAAATGCTTCTTTCAACGCCACTCCTTACTTTCCCCGGCT